CAAACGATTTAGGGTTTTTAATACTAATTGTTCTAGAACTCAAATCACTAAGATAAAATCATACCACTGTCGTGGATCAAACTTCTATGTCTTCTTCCCTAATAGACTCAACTATCGTATGGTTATTACAAGGTGAAGACACGCGTAAAGTGTAAGATTCGATTGTTCACTAAACTCCTTAACTAACCAATCGAATTGTTAAGACGCTTAGCTCATCAAATACTAGGTCTGGAGATATAACAAGCTTTTGGAGAGTATATCAACCTAATATCAGTCACTGGGTAGCTAAGCCAGATCATGCTTTGAGCGTAAATAGAGATGAGGAATCAATTCTAGAATAAAACCTTAAACGTTCAATTATGTGATAACATAGAAATAAGAAAGTGCATAGAAATTAAATCAAGGCTAATGCTCTACATGTTTTGCAACAANGAGCAGCAAGAGTAAAGCAAATAAACATAGTATAAATCGTTGATCTACAAAGCGTAAGGGATTAGATCTCATCTCTTTGCAATAGGGCAAAGTCGAACTACCCTTAAAGGCTTTTAGAATCAAAGATGCATTAAGAACAAGAGATAAACGAAATACATGTTTAGGTATTGATTTAGACTGTTTGGCCGGCTACTCTTACTTCCTAGAGAGGCTAAAAGCAAGTATATATAGGGGTTTAAGAGGTCTTAAGTCGGCTATGGTTATCTTCGGGCAAAAGAATCTTTTACGTCGAAACTGAGGCAACATCGATCACAATATCGGTCGGGTTGCGTGACCGATATTTGAGGCTTCCATGATGCTTCTAGAATGTCGGCAATGGCCTGGATTATCGGCCCACGGAGCGGCCCGGTGCTTGGCTCATTTCTGCACATGCTTCACTTCTAAGGCAGTTTGACGTATCTTCAGTTTTTTCCAGTGTATCTTCTAAAGTACTGCTCTTATTGGTGTCGTTACAACTTCATTGGCAAGCTAACTCAAAGGGCTATTTTCTAACCAAGTTTTATTAGATTCCAAGTTGATTTGGTCCTCCGTTAATCAGTGAACTTCTGGCGTATATATTCTGTCCAACTTGAGAATATGCTTTATCTTCAACATATATTGACTTGCCTTGGCTCCTTTGACTTGAATAAGTAGCTGCATCATAGATAACACTCCTTTTGCTTTTTTTGAATCCTTTTGATGATTAAAACTATTAAGATCTTAAAATTCATATATACGAGAAAACTACCTCTTTTGGTCGAAATGCTTTATTAAAGTATATAAAAACATAGTAAAATAGAAAGTAAAAGTGGTAAAATATAGGGTATATCAATAAGATGTCGTGTGTTCTTGGGTAGGGCAAGTTGAGAGTTTGTTCCACAGCTTTGTAAGATTGTGTTATCTGGTACTTTTGCAATAGGAGTTGCGTGTAGTTGTGCTACGTTTGCATCAATAGAAGTGTTTTTAAGTGTGTTTTAAATTCCTTCTGTTGATTCCGGTATTTGTGTTTCCATATTGGGTTCTACTACATTTACAAAGACAATAGAATGCTCCGTCAATATTAATAAAATAAATTGGGAGTTTTATAGTGTAACATCTAAATCCTATTGGATAAGGCCACAAACAGGAATTGGAGAAGGACTACTCGCCCCTTGGATTGTTGGAACCTCTGGACCGCAAGGAATGACAAGCCTTTCAATGACAAGCACTACTCCGGGGACGAAACATTAACAAAGGCCATAAAAAAAGCCCGAGAATGGCAATCAGCTCAAGCTACTAAATCTCTAACTCCCCCAAACCGAACAAAAAAGCACAACGAACCAACTCAGACGGTTTTCACTTCTCAAACAGATGCAGGATAGAAAGAATCATCAAGAGTAGCAGGGTTGGACTGGACAATAACAAACAATCACCAAGCTTATAAGACACATCACTCCAAAATTAGCTAGTTTGTCAATTCTCCATTAGGTGCAGAAGGCCTAGCTATCCGAGAAGCTCCTTTACAAGCAGTGAACAATGACATTAAAAACTTGACGATTGAGTCAGATTCGACACAATTGATAAACGTTATTAAACCAAATGAGACAATTGCTCTACTCTATGGCATTCTGGCAGATATAGCTGAGCTTTCCACGCGTTTTAATGTCTTTGTCTTTAAATACATTCCAAGAACAACCAATGTTGAGGCTGATTCCATAGCTAAACAAGCATTGTATAACTTTGCAGCGGTTCATGTTTAATGAAGGAATTATCAAGATGCACAAAAAAAAAAAAACATCTAAATCCTATTTAGATGACTTCACATGTATTTTCCCTTCACAATAGATCTCATATTCTTCTCTAACAATTAAGCTCTATAGTTTATCAGATCAGAATGTGAGAAAAATGTAAAAATTTAAGAAGTGAATTTTTTTCGTAGGAATCTTAACTCTTTCTATCTCCTAGATCATATTTGCATCGTTGTCGAGGATTTTTCATTGTACCTATTTGTAAATCAAGATTTTTAGTTGTAGTAATTGCCAACAACTACAACTCGTTTAATAAATGTATATTTTAAAAAAAAATTGAAAAAACATTAATGAGAGTTAATTTATTGTGTGGATCAATATATTTATTGTTTGTCGGCTCATGTGGATCA